TAGAAAGTCTCTGAAGTACCTTCTAGCTTTTAGTCCCTTTTACTCCCAAATTTCCGGCCCCTTCGGTGAAGCCCTGCGACGGTCAGATAGCCAGAGAGTAGAAACTCCCAGATCGAGATTATGTCCGTACAATTTCCCAATTTTCACTAGATTACTCTGTAAGTTAAACTACACTTATTTTATTCAAGTGTAACTTTTAATTATAGTCATAACCATTATTATGATCTTATAATTAAGATTTATCAGTGATTCCAACGTCATATTACTGATTGATCTACTTACGGTGATAATTTCTAGGCTAGATTTAGTGATGTGTTTAAAGTGGGATTTGTAAACGGTATACTTTGTATACCAAACGGACCCTACCTCCGATATGATCATACCCGGTTGTCTCTTATCAGCTATAGATCAGTAGACACTAAGATTGTTGAGGGATCTAGACTATTAATTAGTAATAAGAGGTAATCTAAGACTTAAAAATAATTGAACCTATGTCATATCAAAGGAAAAGCCAAGTGCTAAAGCGAAGCGCTGCCCAACTTTCCAATCATCCACTTTAACAAGTGAGTGCATAATTACTTTCATCTTACAAATAGATATGAAATATCTAAATAATTTTATGCTTATGTGCTTATTATCTATGCTAAGAATATTATGTGTTAGATAAGATATTATGAGATGATATTTAACTGATTTAATTATATAAGTATTATACATTTATAGATATGTATTGGGTAGTAATAGGTTATGGTAGATAGGAGATGATAGATAGGTGATGATAGATAGATGATGGTAGATAGGTGATGATAAATAGGAGATGACTAGGAGATGCCCTAGCCTTGACTTGCGATGTTGCGATGTAGTCATATACCACAGTATAGATGGCGACCACTGACTAATCTAAACAAGTCATGTGGAAACACTGACAGGCTCATAACCTGTAGGTGATGATTTACGAGTTCAAGCGATGTAGTAACTACGTATTCATATGATGATACTCTAACCCTTTGGACACATATTGGGGGAGTAATCCCCGAAACATTACTGTCTATGCGATGTAGGCGATGATCCTTAGGAAAAGTCCTTAACAACAAACACACAAGGAAATGCGATGTGGGCGATGATAGGTAAACGCGATGTAGGTGATGACCCCTAGGATAACCCCTTAGGGAAGAATACATAAGAAAGCGGGGATGTGTAATTGGGTTAATTGTTTGTTTGCTGATTAAACATATTAACTATAGGTTTGTGGGTTTAAAACCCTATGTACTCACCAGGTTTCCCAACCTGACCCACTTAGTTAATTTGTATCACAGGAATCGATGCTAGGATACATTACACTAAGAGATTAAAGGAGATGTAGATCATTAGTGTAAATTAATGCAATGTGTGTTTCTGCTTATGTTTTGTATCAGTTATGACATCCCATGTTCTGAAAGAATATCAATATCGAACATTTCTTCGGAAATGTTTAATGTTAATATTATCTCACATTGAAATATTATTTTTGGGACCAATTTCGCAACAAAAGAAATACTATGTTTTAAAAATAAGCATAAATAAAAATTTTAAAAATGACCGTAAAAATGGGGATGTTATATAGTGATTCCAGATTTCCAACTTCGAGATGCTTGTTTTGAGTCAACAAATGGTCATCTGAAGCTTACACTTTTTGTTTGGATACCTGGCATGTACAAAACCATCAGGTTGTGTCACGAACACATCCTATGTAAGTTTGTTTTCGTTTAGGAAAGTGGTTTTTACATCCATTTTCCATATTCATAATCATAATCATAAAATGTTGCTATGACAATCATTATCCTGATAGATTTTTATCATTTCTACTAGCAGAAAATGTTTCCTCATAATAAACTCCTTGAGTTTTAGTGTATCATTTTGTAATCAGTCACGCCTTATATGTGTGTACCTTCTCATCAATATCGGTCTTCATTTTTAAGACCCATTTATATCCTAATTGGTTACAGTAGGCAATCTATCAACCAAGTCCCATACTTAATTATCGTATACTGATTACACCACACTGTCCATACCCTATTTTCATTAGCATACACTGGTTCTATCATGGCCTCCTAATAGCTGATATGTTTACTATCATCTACCATTAACTCATTATCATCATATATGAATAATCCATATCTTTATGGTTTATGATGTAATCTATTAGACCGAATGACAAAAGGTGAAACTATGTCACATTTCTCGGTAACCATTTTCTAAGGCTCAACATGTTTTTCAACCTTGTGTAGAGTACTAGTTCCAACTTTAGGTTCTCTGGTGGTGGTTGACTCATAAATTTCTTCAAAGATGTTTCATTTTACACATTAGTTAAATCCATATACTTAATTTTTATTGTTGTTTGATCATTAAATCTATTTATCTAAATATAAAAATAAAAATAATTATAAAAAATATATCATAATTTTTTTTCAAACTTTTAAAATTAGACAACTATTTAAGATTAAAAAACATTACGATCACATAATATTTTATTGTTTTTATTTTTTTTAAATATTAGTGTCAACTAATGTTATTTTTAAAATGCGTATTTAAAATATTACAAAGTATATAAGAAGGGTTTATTTATATTTTTAAATAAATAATGACAAATTAATTATTTTTCCCCGAAAAGGTTAATAGAAAAGCAGAAAAATGACTCTTGAGGGTAATTAACTTTTGCGTTTGTACTCATTTGGTCCCTTTTTTTTGTATTCAATATACCATCGAACTTGTTGTTTGCGTTCACCATAACCCTTTTGACCGGCTTTTGACCTGTGATAGTCGGTCAAAGGGTTATGGTGAACACAAACAACAAGTTCGATGATATATTGAATACAAAAAAAAGGAAATTGAACAAATGAGTACAAACGCAAAAGTTAATTACCCTCAAGAGTCATTTTCCCTAGAAAAGCCATACTACAAAAATAAAAAAATAGAAGTTTTTGAAAAGTTAATTATTAAATTATTGATATTGTCGTAAATATCAAATATGTGATTTATTTACATATCTATTGTGCTTTTAATCATTAATATCTAAGTTATTATATAAGTTTAAAATATAGAAAACAGATTTAATATACATAGTAAGTTTAATATCAATCTAATTTAAAATATTGCGATATTATCATGCATTTGATATATTAAAATGTATAAAAGTTTAAGTTTGAATAATTAAAATATCCAAAAAAAAAAAAAAAAAACTCTAACATCAAATTTGGTATTAATGATTAGTACACGTATTTAGTGTTTTATTATTGAGTTATGCATAAAAAATGAGAATGTAAAATAGAAGTGTATCTCTATACAACTATATTTTTTAAGATTATAACAAAATAACCACAAAAGTCGCTAAATAGTATATGTAAACTCGCGATAAAACCGTAGGTTTTTTCTGCCACATATAACTTGTGATAGACATTTGTAGGGACACTTTACTCTTCGCAAGGTTAATTTTAGTTAGTTTCAACTGTCTTCACCAAATACTAATCGTTAAGCATGGGTGGGTATTAATTAATTTTTGTTTAATCCCGACATTTCGTTCGATCATATAAATGTGACATTTCCATCGTGTGTCGAGTCATACCACTTCCACACCCACCAACCTTATTATCATAAACACATTGCAACATTCCTCCCAATGATATTCTTATCCAGTGGCGGAGCTAGAAATTTTAATATGAATGTACAAAAATAATAAAAATTTAGAATAGTACTTGAATATGGATGAAAAATATAAAACCTTTTGAAATTTCATTCTTTAACAAAAAAACTATCTAATTGATGATGAAAAACTGCTCTTGTTCTCTTCTCTAGTCTCTCAACAACGGAAATCAAAACTTATAGTTATTATTTACGAGTTTGATTCATTCATTACATTTTATTCATAAAATTAATGAGGTGTTTTTTTTATAACAAAATTTATAATTATGTCCAAAATCATTACACACATATAATATTAACAATCTAAAAGACTAATTATACACAAATTAATAAGTTAATAAAAATGTTATGATACAAATATTATTATAGAAAGTAAATTAATTACATGAATAAGATGTGCTTTATTTTCTATTTCAAAAAATAGAGAAGCAAAAAGTGAATTTTATATATATATATATATATATATATATATATATATATATATATATATATATATAGAGAGAGAGAGAGAGAGAGAGAGAGAGAGGTTATGAAAGTTATAGAGAGTGATTACATATACGGTGACTTTGCAAGCCACATGTTAATTCTGTCAAGACGAGAAGAAGGGTAATAGGAGACGGTTCTCGTCAAAACAACATGACCTTTTGACGGTGACAACAGATTGTAAGGTTAGAGTTTTAGTTTTTAATGTTTTGTGGTACCTTTTTGTTAATTTATTTGTTAGGTTTTATAGAAATTATAGTACATTCTTTTTTTTAGTTAAGAATTTATTTCATGATTTGGATTTTTATTTTCATAGGTTTTCTGTCATGCAATTATTTTTTAGAAAAAAAAAACACGCAATAAGGTATAAGTTTTCGAGTTGGGGGTGCAAGATAGTTAAACTTGTTTACATATAAGAAATTAATATATAAAATTTAATATATAAATTTTATTTTGGGGATTCAGTTTTACCCCAACGCCAAAACTAGCTCCGCCATTGCCCTTACCTATAACATCTACTCCCATCTCAATCCCATTCTTTGCGACAACTAATCATATCGCCCCCCTCCCTTGTATTCACTTGTTCATTGACTCTGATTCTTTTTTGCGTGGTCTTCATCATTTTGTGGTCTTCATCATTTTAAACATACTTCTGCTCAATTGGCGTGCACTTCTATACTAATAAAATATCTTTAAATTCAATACCAAATATCTTACAATACATGGCTAGGATGAAAACAACATAGGAACAAACAAATTGCTCCTTATTTAGATAAATAAGACAGGAAATACAAACATTACACAATCCATATTAAAACACAATCCAAACTTCATCCATGTTAATATAAATAATTAAATGTTCCAAACTTGTTCAACTCAAAGTTCTTATGCTTTCGTGTGATGAACCCGTCAGCTTCACTATCAACACTTTCCTTATAAACTTTTTGATTTCCAAAGTTATCAACCGATTCAATAACCCTCTCATCATGCTCAACAAAGTGGACTTGCTTGCGTGGCTCTATTGAGCCATGTCGGTGATTTTTATGCACGGGACTAGCATGATGTTCCTCAAAGACAACACGGTTCGGGTAGCCAACAACAGGGCGCTCATGATGTTCCTCAAAGGCAACACGATGCGGGTAGCCAACAATAGGGCGCTCATCCTCAAACATGACACGATCATCATCAAATACCAAGTGGATGTTGCTGGATTGAGGAACATCATAGGTGATTATAGGATCCCTACGCATGTTCATACGGTTGTTGAAACCATAACCATGGTTTAAGCTTCTAGACATTGTTTTTCTTGTTTGTGTGAAGTATAATTGTGGTTATGATAATTCTAAGATATTTATAAACACTTGAGAGGATGTAGTCATTGCGAATATGGTTTGGAAAAGACGGGTTGTCACTATTGAATCGAATTCTTTTTTGATCATATGGTGGCATGGCAATGGAATAAATTGGTTGGACATGAGTGGTAAATGATATGCACGTTTATTCCTTTGTTGCCTTTGGTGTTGCGTTATCTTGATTTCGAAGCTATATCAAGTATATCATGTATACGTATTATCCAATAAAAGGCATCCGTTTTAGTGTAAATATTTTGAAAATAATTATTGTTACTTAAAAATCGGAATTAGATGTAGGATTTCCATGGAGGGTCCAAACACCCCCTAAAGATTCGAGCTTTAGAAATTATAATTCTTGTTTCTCAAGATTGAAACAAGAAAGGATAATGGCTGTTGCAGTTTCCATCTCTCCCGCCAAAATAACCACCACAAAACCTATAATAATCACTCAATTCCCTGATAATCCTAAACCACTGATTCTTGAACAATGCAAGACTGTAAGAGACCTCCACCAAATTCATGCCCATCTCATCAAAACCCGTTTCATCAGCAGTCCGTCGGTGGCGGAAAACTTCCTAGAATCCGCTGCCATCCTCCTGCGTCACCAACCTATGGATTATGCCATCTCTGTTTTCGAGAAGTTAAACGAGCCCAATTCATCTGCATACAACATCATGATAAGGGGCCTGACTTTGAAAAATTTCTCTCATGAAGCTGTTCTTATGTTCAAGAAAATGAAGGAAACGTCGGTGGAGCCAGACGAGTTTACCTTTCCTTGTGTTTTAAAAGCTTGCTCAAGATTACGAGCTTTGGAGGAGGGGAAACAAATTCACGGTCAGCTTATGAAATTGGGATACAGATCGTCTGGGTTTGCCGAGAATGGTCTGATCAAAATGTATGCAAACTGTGGGCAAGCTGGGATTGCTCGCAAGGTGTTTGATGAAATGTCTGAAAGAGACATTTTTGCATGGAATGCGTTGTTTTCTGGTTATACAAAGAGTGGGTGCTGGAAAGAAGCTGTTGATTTGTTTCACTACATGCTTGAAACAGATACGAAGTTTGATGAGGTCACTTTAGTTAGTGTTTTGACAGCATGTGGACGTGTTGGTGCTTTGAAGTTAGGGGAATGGATCAAAGACTATATAGAAGCAAATGGGCTCAAAAGGAATCCCACTTTAATCACTTCTCTTGTTGACATGTATGCTAAATGTGGGCATGTGGATAAAGCTCGAAGTTTGTTTAATCAAATGTCACATAAGGATGTGGTTGCTTGGAGTGCAATGATATCTGGCTACAACCAATCAAATAGATGCAAAGAAGCACTTTCCCTATTCCATGACATGCAAAAAGCTAACATTGAACCCAATGAGGTCACCATGGTCAGTGTCCTTTCTTCATGTGCTGAACTTGGAGCTTTAGCAATGGGTAAATGGGTCCATTTCTATATAAACAAGAAAAAATTACCACTTACAGTAACACTCGGAACTGCTTTATTACATTTTTATGCAAAATGTGGCTCTATTGATAACTCAATTGAAGTCTTTAAAAAAATGGCAAGAAAGAATGTATTGTCATGGAGTGTACTCATTCAAGGTCTTGCAAGCAATGGACAAGGGGACACAGCTCTCAAATACTTTGACCTGATGTTGACCAAACATATACAACCAAATGATATAACTTTCATTGGTGTTCTTTCTGCTTGTAGTCACTCAGGTTTAGTTAAAAAAGGTCGTGAGTTGTTTGCAAGTATGATTAAAGATTTTGATATAGAACCAAAAATCGAGCATTATGGTTGCATGGTTGATATGTTAGGGAGAGCTGGATTATTGGAGGAGGCTTATCAATTTATACAAAACATGCCAATGAACATGAAGCCAAATGCACTTATCTGGAGGACATTATTGGCATCATGCAAAGTTTATAAAAACGTTGGAATTGGAGAAGAGTCATTGAAGAAGATAATGGATTTGGAAACTGTTCATAGTGGAGATTATTTACTTCTATCTAGCATCTATGCATCAGTTGGTAGGTTAGAAGATGCATTTAGGGTAAGAAGAGAGATGAAAGAAAAGGGTGTTATTAAAAAAACTCCAGGTTGTAGCTCAATTGAAGTCAATGGTGTCATTCATGAGTTTTTTGCTGAAGATGATGCGAATTTTGAGTCTGAGAAAATATATGCAGCTACTGAAAAGATGATGAAGGGGATAAAGTTGGCTGGTTATGTGATGAATATAGAAGATGCAAGATTGGAGGCAGAAGAATATGATAAAGAAACATCGGTGTCTCATCATAGTGAGAAATTAGCAATTGCTTTTGGACTTATTAAGACTTCCATTGGTACCCCTATTAGGGTTTCAAAGAATCTTCGGGTGTGTAATGATTGTCATGAAGCAACAAAAATGATTTCAAAAGTTTATAATAGAGAGATAATTGTTAGGGATCGAACTCGGTTTCATCATTTCAAAGATGGATTGTGTTCTTGCAATGATTACTGGTGAAAAATTGTGAGTTTGTGACACTTTATTTCACTTTTTAGTCTTATTGAACAGAAATTTTATCATATCTTTTGTCAAAAACTTGTTTAAAATGGTAAATATAGAACCAAAACACATCAAATGACAACATCTATATCATATAACATTATAACCCAGAGCTGAATAATTTTTACAAGATGATAAAGTTTGCATTTTTCTTAGAAAAACACCACACGTTTATAAAAAATACACGTTCATACTTGATCACCTTGTGATTTGGGCATTAATAGCACTGGTTAAAACAGAAAAAGAAACCTTTTGGCTTATTATGTTCCATTTCTCTAGGGGTATCCCCTGTAAAATTGCAGACTGCCATTAAAGCACTTGTCCCTGGAGATTCTGGAGACATGGGGGCATTTTCATTAACAAAAAGGCGAGAAGGAAGTATGGGTTTGGAGGGCAAAATGGTCGAAAAATAATGTAACAACATTTGTATGATTTGACTGAAGTTTGGTCGAGCATCTGGATCCTCCATCCAACATGAACTCAGAATCATTGCTAAATCTTCTGGTAGATCTTCCAAACTTGGCCTCACATTCTGAAAAAGATAAAAAAAAAGCAAGTAAATATTACTATTTTGCCCTTTAGGAGAAATGATGAAGTTAGTATTTTACCTTGAAAGCTGCAGCATAAGCAGCTTGGAGGTTGGACATACCCTCAAAGGGTAGTCTGTTGTGTAAAAGTTCCCATAATACAATTGCAAAGCTATAAGCATCTACTTTCTGGTTGTAATGCTTCTTTTCTCCTTGCCTTAGTGTCACAGTGCTATATAACTATTGAAAAATAAAAAAAACATTTAAAATCTTTATCTTTGATAAAAAAAAAGAAAAAAAAAAGATTAAAAAAATTACCTCTGGAGCCATCCAACGATATGTCCCTGTTTCAGCTGTCATCATCTCTGTAACTGTCTCTTCTCTTGCTAATCCAAAATCTACAAGTTTTAATGTTCTTTGATCTTTTGTCAACACCAAGTTTTCTGTAGAAAATTAGAAATTAAATTAATTGTAGGATTTAATAGAGATCATTAGCCATGGGTATGTTTAGTTCCATGGAATGGAATGGAATCACCAAGGTAATGGAATGAGTCATTACATTCCATGAATCCATAATCTTGTTTGGTTGGCTTGTCGGAATGAAATGATTTCATATGAATTTTTTTTTAATATTATAGAATTTATATTTTACACAACTAAAAAAATTAAACACGATAAAAGGGATAAAAAAATATTTTTCTAGTAAATTTTTTGAAAAATAAAATTACAATTTAACTAAAATCATGAAATTATTGATAAGGATTCGTGTCATTGAAAGTTTTATAATTCAAAAAACAGGTTAGGAATCATTTCCATGATCAATAATTCATTTGATTCCATCAAGCAAAATAAACAACTTTTCTTTTTTCATTCCATGATGGAATGAAAAAGAACACCTCCCGCGTGATAAACGAAGGAATCATATTTCCTTCGGGAATGATAAATTCCATTCCATCAGACAAAACAAACAGTTTTTCTTTTTTTTCAATTCCAACGGATTCAAAACTTACCAGGCTTTAGATCGCGATGAATGATTCCATGAGAATGCAAACACTCCATAGCACGAGCAATATCAAGTGCAAAACCAATAGCAACATGCATATCCAAACACCCCGGTCTTTTATTCAACATATATTTACGTAATGACCCTCCCGTTAAAATTTCTGTAACAATAACCATCATAGGCTCTTTACATGCCCCTATAAACTATTTAACACAAAAAAAAAAAAAACAATTTGTCAACTTTTTTATATTATTCTTTCTTAAACAAAACTCAAAAAATATAAATCAAAATCAAACCTTTGCAAGATTCTTGTGTTGAACTCTAGACCATGTAGCAACCTCTCTCACAAATCGAGCTTCCCTCTTCACGATTTCTTCGGGTGTGTCACCTCTATGAACGATTTTGATCGCAACATTCTGGTTTTTATATCTAAATGAGAATTGGAAATCACCCATTTGCCCATTAGTCATATAACCAAAACAGATAATCAAGATTCAAGATTGATTGATTGATTGATTGATTGACGAAGGTATGGGAATCTTTTTACTTACTTTCCTTCATAGACCTTTGCATGAGCTCCTTCACCAATTCTTGGCCCAACAAAAAGATGCTCGGGATGAATCAACCATTTGGGATCAAATCTATACTCATCAATTGAAGAGAAACTATCCATGCTTCCCATTTTTCTTTTTCTTTCTTAGATATGTAAGATGAAGTCAACACAAATGCACCATTTTATTTGTAACCTTGAGACGTTGTATATATATATATTCTCTCTCCCTTTTTCTCTCTCTTTTACATTAAAGCCACATGGGATGATGCAACCAAAAAACAAAGGACAGTATTGTACTTTATTGTACTCAGAAAAAGGTAACAGCACTCATCATAAGTCAATGATGCTAAGATTAGATCCAACACTTGGGAATGGGTATGAAATTAGATAACCCGTTTTGATATTTTTTATGTCGAATTTTCTTTTCTATATCGTATTTTTGACATTAAAAATCGAAATGTATCTATTTTTTTATAAAGTGTTGATGAAAATTGAGGGTAAAGAAATTGATGAGTTGTTGATTGGGAGACAAAATCATTGAAGACGTTGGGTGATTGTCTTTTGGAGGAGAGAAAACAACAAAACAGGGCACGAGAGTGGGAAGTTATTCTGCAATGAATGAATAAATTAAAAGAGTTGCACATGGGAACTGATCCCTTTAACATGTGGGAGGAGATAGCGACTTTACATAACTGCCCCTCGGCTAATTACCTTTTCCCCCCTAGTTTAGACTTGTAACGATTTAAGAAAGAACAGTTCTATTAAAAGGGTATAGTTTTAATTAATTAATAATTATAATGTAATTCACATGAAATTGTGGAGTCGGGCGTTATTTGGATGTATAATACCAGTATTTAGGGTATGATTTTGATTTTTAATAGTTTCTTAAATCTACTAAGAATGACAATATTCTATATAAAGTCATTGAATTATTCAAAACTATAGTACTTCTTTTTTTCAAAGTACATGTGCTTCTTTATTGTTTGTTACGATATATCATATATTTAATGTGATTCTTTATTGTTACACAAACAATCAAAGAAAAACAATAAAAATATATACATATATGTAAAGTGATTTTTATTGTTACATAAGCAATCAAAGAAAAGCAATAAAAAACGACATAGATAATTAATATGGTTGGGTCCATTTGACTTACGTCCATGGGCGTGAATCGAAGACTCTTCTATTACTCTGCTATTACTCGATAGAGTGATTGCATTGGAATTCATTGCTACATATACTTATAACCGTAATCACTAGGAACTATAGGATCAAACTCATACACAAGTAAACTCGAAACATCTAAACAAATCTATGTTGCAGTGGGCTCCCACACCCATGGGATAAGTGTTTGTCATGTACGTCCTCGGGCCTAATGATCCTCAACCTACATCAAACACTTATCCCTTCGAAAATCACCATCTGGGTCTCTCCATTTCGTTTGGGTTAGATTATTTATTTGGTTCACCAAATTCCTGGTCACACATTAATATTAAAGGTGATTCCAAAAGTGATTTGCTTGTCCAATGGTACTTCTCACTTTTCTTCGCATAGTCCACTTAACTGCTTTCCAATGAGCCTTCCCCGAAATGCTTATAAACCTGCTCACTACGTTAACTGTACAGGCCAGCTTGGGTCCAATACAAACCATATCATACATGAGGCTTCCAACAACACTAGGATATGGAACATTGCTCATGTAACTCTTCTCATTTGCGTTGGTATTGTGTTGCAGTATAGTTTAAAATGTGATGCTAAAGGTGACATGCTAGTTGGGATTGATCCATATAGAATGATTGCGGGACTTTCTCATTATAATTTTGTTAAAAACCTACTCCTCTATCCCTCAAAATCTCTATGCCCAATATATACTTTGTTGCAATCAAATCCTTCATCTTGAATTCACTTTTTAGTAAAAATTTCAAGTCATTAGTTTTAGCCATATTATTAGCTACAATTAACATGGAATCCACTGTAAAAACAAATATATGTAGGAACCATCAAACAATTCATTCAAGTAGACACAATCATCAAATTGATTTCAATCATAGCCATGAAAAATCAAAGATGAATCAACAATTATGTACCACCGCCTTAGGGAATGTTTCAAACCATAAAGATTTTTTTAGCAAATACACATGATCTTTCTTGGCATCAAGGAAAATGAGAAATGTAAATATTATCTTGTAAATTACCATGTAAGAATTTGATGTCAATCTACTCAAGCTCAAATTAAACGCATGTACCATGGCTAATAGAAACCGAATTGGTTGGTGTTTCACAAAAGGCGAGAAAACTTCATGATATTTGGTCGCTTCCTTTTGTGAGAACACTTTGACACTAGCCTTGCTTTGAATCTCGTCGATTCAACCCCTATAATTCATTCTTTCCTTTTAAAGACCCATCATCCTACTGGTTTTGTTCAATTTGGTAATGGTACTAGATCCAATCTTCTATAATGATTGTATTTATCCATTCATTGCTACCATTAATGTGATGCTCCTTTACTTATAATAACATCTTTATATGACCCAGGATCATCTGATAGATATCATCTCCAACAGCCAATGCATATGTAACCTAAATAATGTCAAACATATCTTAGAATGCTAAATAATGTGTAATAGAAACCTAAATAATGTAAGTTCTGTTTGTGCTTATGTTTCTATATTGACGATGACATCCCAACGTTTTAAAATGAATAAAATACATTTATTAGGAAATGATTTGATAACGTATTTATCATGTTTTTCTGGGAACAAATTCCACAACACTTTTATTTAAAATATTACTTTGATTTTCAAATAAAGCATAAACAAAATCGGTCTTTTCTGGCCGTGAAAATGGGGATGTCACAATTGGTATCATAGCATTAGTTTAAGCGAACTAGGAATAAAGATTTATTTCTAGACATAAACTTAGAATGCTAAGCGATGATCGTGAGGAGTGTGTCTAATATATTTTAGGTAGCACACCTGAATAGACACGAGCACTAGCTCATTTAGGGAAGATGCCTAAATTGCTTTATGTGCTAGATGATTTGTGATGCTTTATGATGCCATTATTTGATCGGATCTATGGTCTGTTGCCGACCAGATCTGGAAATTTTATGTGTTCAGATTTCTAAACGTTTAATTACGATATTAGAACTGGCATGTAACTTTTCGGAGTAATAAGGAGGAATACACGTCTAAATCTTCTCTATCTATATTCTCGTTTCAATAAACTGGATGCATGTGTAACGCCCCGACTCTCAGGTACAAACTTTCAACCATGTATTTCCAACTTTTTAGGTCGACTCGACGAGTTGGATGCCCTGACTCGTCGAGTAGGCACGGTTTTGGTCGCATATCTTAAGTGATCGACTCGACGAGTCGAAAACGGACTCGGCGAGTAGGTGCTGAAGGACGAAACCCTAATTTTTGGGGTTTCACACCCTATTTAAGGGATCATTAGCCTCCTTTGGCCTCCCCTCACCGTCCCCTTGAGCTCTGAAACCCTAATTCGTGCGTGTGCCCCATTTAGTGTATTTTTCAAGTTGGAAGGAAGATTTTGTTGCAAGGAGCTTGAAGATCAAGAAGTGTGAGGCAAGGAACGTGTGTAGATCTGAAGTCTACCCCAGCTTAGCATCATTTGAAGGTATCAAGTCATTACCTTGACCTTCTCTTAGTTAGATCCTTCTATGTTTGACTTTTGGGGCCATTTGGCATTTTGGTACTTTATTTGAGTGGTGAACCAAGATCTTAAGTTGCAACTTCAGATCTAGGCTCATCTTGGCCCTTACAATCATAAAGTCTCAGCCTTTAGCATGCTAGTGTGATCCCTTGCCTAAGAACCACTTCTTTAGCTTGATTTAAGTCATTAGCACCTTGCATGTACGTAAAGTTTGCAACTTTACGTAAGAAGTATGCCCTAGGAGCTTAGATCTGCAATATGGAGCCTTTGCATGACTTAAAAAGCATCTGTATGGTTGAAGGACTGAAGGGACGCGACGAGTCGCAAGGTCGACTCGGTGAGTCATATGAAGATAGTCATATACTCGACGAGTTGGATGAATAGCTCGACGAGTCCGATGAAGATTGCCTTGGGCTCGGCGAGTCAGTCGAATGACTCGGCGAGTCGGCTAGGGTTTTCCCAACCTTTGGACACGTATGAACCCGACGAGTTGTAAAAGGGGAAACTCGACGAGTTGGCCAAGGAGTTTGCGGCCACTGACATTAGGAACTCGACGAGTCGCTCAAGTGACTCAGCGAGTTAGCAGGATATGCAAGGAACTCGGCGAGTGGTTGGTGGTACTCGACGAGTTAAGGTCAATATGGAATGTTGACCTTGACAGTTGACTTTGACTTTGACCAAGGGTTGACTATTGGACTTCTGGGGTATTTTGGGAATTGAAAATTTACAAGCATGGTTCTACGGTGCATTCAGGTGGTGGAGTTGTACCGGCAATCCAAGAGCTTGAGTTTATCTTCGAGTCGACAGTGCGAGGTGAGTTACCTCACTATGCTAAGGGGTCTAAGGCACCAATGCCGACCCATTGGATATGTTATCCTAGCAGTGTTAGAAGTTGAGTATGAGTTAGTGTTGCATGCTAGTGGTTATGCCAGTTAGGTAGATCTGTAGGACTACCTGTGTTGTTATATCATTATCTGCATGCTCAGTAGTTATGTTATATGTTGATATGTTATGTGGGATGGGTTGAGGATGTACCGCTTCGTGCGGTGACCAACAAACCCTAACAGCATTCCAGATACGAGTTGTGGGCCCGGTAGGCAATCCAGACTCGTACTGTGGGCTCGATGGCAATCCAGACTCGTACTGTGGGCTCGATGGCAATCCAGATGTGAGCTGTGGGCCCGGTAGGCAATCCAGACTCACACTGTGGGCCCAGGGGTATTCCAGTCTGTAAAGTTGTGGACCCAGTACATGCTGTTATTTGTATATGTATTATGTGCAGTGTATCGGTATTTTGGGGAACTCACTAAGCCTCGGGCTTACAGTTTCAGTTTATTGTTTCAGGTACATCAGGGGATCGCGGCAAGGCGAAGGCGTGATCATACAGCTCCTCATATTTATGTTTATGTTTCTGGGATACTCTGATATTATGCCTTTTGAAAACAAGTTTTGTAATAACTAATGGTTTTTGGATTGTTTAAAAAGTTTTAAATTGGCTTGAATTTTATGGGTGTTACAGCATGCTT